CTTTGTTTGCAATACATTATGATAGTTTGTATCACAACTCTTGTAGATGTGTATATACTTTGTCTTGAAACTGACAATTTTTTAAATTGACACCATAAAAATCATCAGCAAAAAAAATCAGGAAGGTATCAGTTCCCATAAATTTATGTTATTGTTTAAGTCTAACACTATTCAAACAGTGTATTGATAATTCAAATTACTTACCAATAAAAGACAACCACTAGAATATAAGAACAAAGGCTTTTACGAACGGAATCTATAGTAGAATGAAGATTCGGGCAATAGGGCCGTGGTCGAAGTGAACTATTCTGTCCAGACGTTTCGTCGGCTACTGCGGCTGACATCCTTAGTGGTAGTGCTGCGTTGACAACGTGAACGTAGATTATATCTCGACAGCGACTGTCAATGCAGCACTACCACTGAGGATGTCAGCCGCAGTAGCTGACGAAACGTTTGGACGGAATAGTTCACTTAGGCCTGAATCTTCATTCTACTAATCACTAGAATGAATAGGTACTACACGTTTATTTTCTTAATTTAAGTGTTATATAGAATCAATAGATCAAAATTGAAGTAAGAATAGTAAATTGGAGGTAATGTTTTTCGTACCTATAGTAATTTTATTAATAACTGCTCTGCGTGAATATAATATCTACGTGGTGTTTTCTGTCAAGTTAAGGCGTGAAAATGGATAATGACATCGTATTGGACTAATAATGGCAGAAAAGCAAGACAAATTTAAAATTGGTATAAAATATAGCATGCATATTAGAAAAGTCTTTTTATACTTCACATTCTTGTAAACAAAATGAAAAACATGACCACCATAAGCCTAGTCTAACCCAACTTTAACCGAAGGAAGTCTCTATTTGATTGCTTACATTTAGGATCATAAGTTTACGGTAAGAAAAGACCAGTAGGCAATTATACTGTGACAATTCAATGTGCACAGAAACGAGGAAGACGAGATATTCCAGATGTCACATTCTAGATCCTTTTAGAAAAGTCCAGCTTTATAAATAGTGAAGCGAAGCGATAAAGTGTGTAATATAGTAGTGAAACAGTAGCTAATTAGTAATAATAGTGTTAATTAGAGTGTAAATAATTAAATAAGTTAGCCAGTAGTTGCAAACTTATTTAATTAAGCGACAATTTGGTTCCAGAAGTGGGATTGAAAAAGGTTGAAGAGGATTGAAGAAGGAGAGGATTTTGAAGAATTCCTTTGAATATTCCACAACATCCCACCGGCCAATTTTTTAGAAGTTTCTATCGGCTATAAGAAGCCTCAACAAGTTATCTATTATAGGAGAACTCCTGAAGAAAGAAGAACGAATCTGACCTCATCGACGAATTTCATCGAATTTTCTGGAAATTCGATGGATCGTGAATAACCGTAACAAAAAGTAGAACGATTGTAATGTCAAATCCCAAGACAAAGTTTATCGCTTATAAGAGGAAGATCAAGAACTACCCAGAGCATTGTAAGAGTCAGAATAGACAACGATATAGGTGGGTTGGTGGAGGTAGTCAAACTGGACAGTCAAAACATTTTTGGTGAGACGTACGTTCGTAAGAAGTGGAACATCATCGGTACCTGTTAGAATAGCCAATTTGAAAAACTGAAAGAGCAAAAGATTTTCAAAGGTACAGAGTTAGATGCATTTAAATCATTAGCTGAAATACATCACTGTGATTGGGAAGAGGAATTGGAGACGAAATCGACATTACTTCCTGCAACTTTATCAGAACTAATGAAACGGTCACGTAACTATCTCAACAAGTACCAAGTCAAACAATTGGAAAAACTTCTTAGCCATTTTCAACATGTCTTCGCCCTCTCAGATCAACACTTCAGTAAGAGCATTTTAACATACTACTGCACGAACACCGGAGCAGTAAGGCCCAACAGACAACCAACTAGAAGAGTTCCCTGGGAGAAGTAAGATGAAGTGAACAATCTTATAACGAACATGAATAAACAAGGGGTAATCGAAACTTGATGGTTCCACAAGATTTTGTGTAGACAATAGGAAGCTGAACGATGAAACGCAAAAGAACAGTTACTGATTAATCCAAATGGACGACACACTAGACAGTCTGAATAGAACTAAATGGTTCTTTACCCTCGATTTGAAAAGTGGATAGTGGCAAGTGAAAGTGCATCCGCAGAATAAGGAGAAGACTGCTTTTGCAACTGGAAGTGGTCAATGGCAGTTTAACGTGATACCTTTTGGATTTTGCAATGCACCGAAAGACTCTTAGGCACTAAGGATTAAACTGGAAAAGTTGTTTAGCTTACCAAGACGACATCATCATACTAGGAAGAATCTTCGACGACTACGTCCGAAACCTGACTGAAGTCTTCAGGAAATTGAAGCTGTTTCATGAAATGCATCCTCTTTAGAAGAAAACTGAAATACCTAGGTCATTTCATAACACCAGAAGGAATTATTACCGACCCTGGAAAAACGGATGCCGATGTAGCCCGACTATTTCACAAGCTTACACTAGATGGAGTTTCATTCCATTTGGACCCTTGAATGCCAAAAAACATTTGAAAACTTGAAGATTACACTCTCTGGTGCCCCAGTTTTGACATACCCACAGTTCATAGAATCCTTCATTGTAGAAGCCGACGCTACTAATGTGGGACTTGGCAGTAAATTATCCCAAGTACAAGACGAAAAGGAAAACTAATCGGAAACTTTAGTAAAACACAGGGCCTCTGTGACTTCATTGGTTACAAAGTAGGAGTAATATGAAAGATTGGAGCAGACATGGGTTGCCAGTAAGGAACCTAAGACGAGAAGTAGTGGACGAAGGCAGCAGTACAACGTGGGAGCGTCATTTGAGAGAATCGCAGTCTACGTAGCAGGTCTATTTCCAATGATAGACTCTGGTAGCAGATACTTCTTGGTCGTCATGGATTACTTTAGCAATGCTATACCGAATCAAGAAGCACATATCCATTATATCCATAGTCTGATGGAATGTTTGAACAATTTAACGCTACTCTAGAGACCAATTAGTCAATGACTACCAAACTGATCGGGACCAACGTATACCCCTATTCTAGGCATCCACACCATCCATGAGACAACTGGAAGAACTTCGGTCAGCATTTTATTTGGGGTATAACTCAGACAGACAATGTTTGGTCGCTCTGGAGACTCGATGTCTACAGATGAATGCATGCCCAAACTAAAGGAACGACTAGAAGTCATCCATAATGCTGTGAGTACGAAGCTGCAATTTGAAAGCAACCGCATAAAAACCAGATACGATCAACGAGCCAACTCTGTTGGGTTTAATGAGGATGACAGAGTGTGGATATATTAAGACAGAAGCGACGTCCGAAACTACAATAAGCCGAACACCATTACTCAACACAATCTATCGAATTCGGAAGGGTCCTTGGCAAAAATAAAGATCGTTCATCTTGATCGGCTTGCTCTCTACAGAGTATGGAGGGTAGAGGTAAGAAGAACTATTTCATATCGGGGAATGTTGAGAAAGTGTCCAGCTATAAGCAGTAAGTAACAATTCAAAAACCCTCCAAAATGGTGCGGTGCTAGCGTAGACAAAAGGTATAGTATGACTGTAGGAGTTGTTGAGGGATTGAAGTATGCCGAGTTAGAAAATTTAATATTTTTAGTGACTAGTATACCAAACCTCAATTATTTACGTATTCCAAAGTAATTTTGTCCTGGTTTATTTTTTTATCCAATTCTAGTAACTTTATTTGAAATTTACCTTGTTGCTATTGTGACGTCACCCTACTTTAACGCAGCTTGATGGACACTTTTTCACTACAGAGATAGTACTCCTTACCTCTACCCTCTATACTACAGAGGCGACTTCTCTAACCAGGACGATCAGTAAAATATTAATTAATAGTAGTGATGTTGATTAAAGAGAAAATTATTAAATAAATTAGCCAATAAGTAGTTAGAAAACTGCTTCATTATGTGACAATAAATATTCGGCGCAACATATGCACTCAGTATCTAGGTGGTTCATATATGTCTTTCAACGAGTAACTCCACACGCTACTAAACGATAGTGGTACTTAACGAAAATTAAAATTTGCCTCCTTTCAGGAATCGTGGGTATGGGTGAGTGGTGGTTCGGGTAAGAAAGACGAGACGAACGAAATGAAGTCAGAGGAAAATGAAACGTTATCTGTGAAATATTACAGCCCTAACATTTGCCTAAGCGATCCAAGGAAACCACAAAAAAACTTGGACCAAGTCAGATGGACGAGGAATCGAACCGGCGTCCTCCCGAATGCTAAGCAATGGTCTAAACCTCTAAGTCATTAAGCTTTACAGCTATTTATATTACATTTATTTACATGAATGACGTTTTAGCACAATAGACTTGTGTCCGTAAATGTTTGACCTAGTTGATTTAGCGGTGCTAGCACATCACTTATAGTTGTTGAATCAAAAAACTTTTAATTTATAATAACAATATACCGAGCGTTCCCACATATCACTATTCAAGTCCATAAAAAATACGTAAGTAACTGCGTTCTTCATTAGTGAATATCACTAATTACAATTGTTAATTATCATAAATAATGGCCACCTTTCGAGTGTATTGTGAGCATATAAGTGTAACACATAAAGAGCACACAAAGAAATATTCCTTCTGACAGACGGTCCAACGAAAGTTCTAGTAATGGTGTAACATTTTCACAACATTAATTAACTTTAAATGGTAATTATTGCGTTTAATGATTTTTTTTTCAATATTTGATTTACTGTTTTAATTTAAATATTATTGCACATACATGACAATTAAAAAAATGAATGATCTTTGAGACGAGATGAACATAATTAAGTATTTCTCAATATTCAGAATGCACCTGTTAAAAATCGAAAGGAAGAAAGTAAAAGTAGATATTGATCGGTTTAATCCACATAAGAAAGGAAAACAAAACCAAGGCAACGTACAAGGTGCTGAAGAGGTTGTTGAAAAAGTTTATCGCTACTCACCCTTGAATGCCTGTAATCGTAATCCCTAGGATCTCGGCAAGAAGGACTGTCTAGGTCGCTTCTGTACACGAGTTCGTCGAATCTCGCTCGATCTTCGACTGCTACTATTTCACGTAGCTCAATCATCAAAGTAAACTGAAAAAAAAATAAACAAATCATTTGTAAATAAATAAAAATAAAAAAAGGATGCTATTTAGCATTTATTTATGTAATACTCCTATATATAGCCAGTTGGTATAGGAAACAATTCTCTGCTATTACGGTGTATTTATTTATGTAGATATAGGTAATATAATAATTTTATTAACAAGAGATCGGACCAAGTAGATCTCACAATATCATTAGTAAATAGAAAACCCAGGTCCGTAGCTACGTCATCACTTCGGAATGTACCGAGGATACCTGAGCTATGGCGAAGGGGTAATTTGCACGATGGGCGTTGCCTATTTTGTGCTGATTGTATTTAAACAACGAAAAAGCAAATTTTTGGCACGCACTCGAGCTCGAACCATTCGAGCTTCTATACGTACTTGCGACCAGCAACATTCTCTACCGTCTTCTTACCAGCTACCGCAGCCGACGAACACAACAACCGACAGTTATCACTGCCTATATAGCGACGACATATTAAACCAGGTGGTTTAATATTCATCAATATCTACAAGTTTTCAACAATTGCCCAGCCGTTTTTTAGGTAAGTTTAACCAATTTAAAATATTACTAACCAACAGTTCTCTGGGACGGAGTACGCAAAGTACCTCTGGACCCTTTCAACCCCCCACCAATTAAACTAACAATAAAAACCTAACATTTTCTTGCTTTGTACCATATACAATACGTCTCATAGGAGTAGGTAAACTTCTTTAGCCAACCATTTCAAAATGGCTACCCCCAAGAGCCCCGCACTCTTGCGGAAATTATGCCCTTGGCGAGCGAGCTGCAGTCGAAGCTCGCCATAATCAACGAATTCTTGTGACAACACTCCGAAAGTTCCCCATCTTCCCAATGTGCGAGGACGTCGTGCCTTCTTCTGCTACCTGGGCTGAATTGTCCGATTCAGACTCTCCTCCGACTGCCGCTGACGGCTTCACAGAAGTCGAGAAGCGGCGTAACAAGCGCCGAAGACGTGCTACTTTTCTGTCTTCGGCATCCTCAACGTCCTCTGATTCTGAGGCAGAGACCGGCGCAACTAGCCAAAACTCCAAGGCCCCTCCACCCATCGAAATCAGCCAAAAGTCCCTTTGGCCGAAAATTCTTCGCGCCATGGACAACCACGGCATCGTCACACGTCGGGTCATAAACACTAAAGATTCTGTAAGAGTCTACCCGAACTCCGTTGACGATTTTCGTCGACTCTCGTCGTTCCTCGACGAATCCAAAGTTGAGTTTGGTACAAACCAACTGAAACAAGACCGCGATCTCCATGTTGTCCTTCGTGGAGTTTGCGAAGACATCTCCACAGACGATGTCAAAGCCAAACTTGTTCACAAAGGCTTCGACATCCGCGGCGTCCACCGAATATCCAATGGTGGAAAAATCTGGCCCTTGGTGCCCGTTCGTCTGGACAGATCATCCCCGAAGTCCATGTCTATCTTCAAACTTAGCAAGGTCTGCGGGCTCAGCGTAAAAGTTGAGCCAAAAAGAGCCACAAAAGACATCCCCCAATGCCGCCGTTGTTTGAAGTTCTTCCAACACACAAAAGTCAGTGCAACCAGCGCCCCGTCAAATAGCCATCCCCGGAAGGACCCTCCCCAAAAATCTTACGCCAGGGCAGTGACAGCAGTTCCCTCCCTTCTCCTTCAAAAACGCAATGCGTCCCCAAACACACCTGCAGCTTCTTCTCTTGAACAAAGGATCCAGGCCATCGTTCAAACGATGGTAGCAAGTCTGGTCACCGTCCTTCAAACGTCCACCAATAAGTAATACAGCCCACCCAGACAATCTTCGCATAGTTACCTGGAATGCGCAAAGCATTAGAGGTAAATTGACTGAACTCGAGCACTTCCTCGAGGATAAGTCAATCGTTGTTGCCTGCATCACCGAAACTCATCTGTCCGAAAAAATCAAACTTTTCGCCCCAAACTTCTCATCCTACAGAAGGGACCGTGAAAACCGCAGTGCCGGCGGTGTCGCCAGTATTGTTAGGAATTCTTTAAGGCGCAGGCCTATCTCATTGGCCACAAACTCATTAGAAACAGTCGTCATCGAAGTTTCGCTAACTTCCGGTCCTCTTAAGATTATCTCTCTCTCTACTCACCACCTACGGACAGAGACCTTTCTGTACTCCCCCTTCTACTCCCCCCAGGCGTTCCAACTATCGTCGCCGGCGATTTTAACGCGAAACTTCGGGTTGTCGACAAACCAATAGTAAAAGCACCTCCCTTCTTGCCAAAATTCTTCACTTCAACCTCACAGTTGAAGCACCCCCTGACCTCACGTTCCTCCCCGCCCCCCACAATCGATTCCCTGACATCTTTGACATTTTTGTCACAAAAAATGTTACATCTTCCACCGACCCTATCGTAATTGACGCACTAAGTTCGGATCACCTTCCAACCCTGATTGAAGTCGGCCGCCCAATCAACAACCCCCTAAACGCAATCACGTCACTAGATTGGCTACACCTCTGTTACACCTTCGAAACATCTTCATTCGCACAATAGCGGAACTTGACGAAGCTGTGAATCTCCTTTCAAACGAGATTACCAGCGCTATCTACCACCTCCCGCCCCACGCTCACCAAAGACAGAACCCTCCCCGCAGATATTTTTGACCTCCTTAAGAGGAAAAACAAGGCCCGACGTCTGTGGAATAGACACCACATGTCCGCACACCGTGCAGAAGTAAACGCCCTTCAACGAGAGCTAGATACTCACTCTCACTGAATTCCGCAACGCATTCTTCGATGGTTATATCGCTCAGGCAGAAACACACCCCCGAAGCACTTGGAAAGTGATCCGTTCTCTTCGTAACAGAGCTCTTCATCTTCCGCCACTAAAACAGAACGGCTCTACCTATTCTTCAGACGAAGAAAAAGCTGCAATCTTCGCAGACTCATTATGTCTGTAGTGCTCTCCACTACCTGGTCCAGCGGACCTTGCCGACTTTCACGAGCATACCAAAGCCGTCTCCCAGAACTTCGTTCCCCTAATTTCCGACTTCAGACACACTACACCCCATGAAATCTCCCTTACTATCCGTTCTCTGAAAAAGAGGAAAGCCCCTGGCGCTGATGGAATTCAAAACGGAGTCCTCAAAGTCTTGCCGTCAAAGCACATAACTGCACTCTGCAACATCACAAACGCCATCATGCGGCTGCACCACTTCCCTTTGGTCTCGAAGGAAGCGACTGTCATCTGTCTCCCCAAAAAAAGGAAGCCCCTCAGTTCTCCCTCAACCTACTTTTCGATCGGCTCTTCTCCCCGATCATCAACACGGCTTCTGCAGGCATCACGTCACCGAACACCAACTTCTTCGTGTATTTGAATATATTTCCGACAACCTTAATAAGCGGCATCACACCTCCATACTTCTTCTTGACGTCCAACAAGCATTCGACCGAGTCTGGCACGAAGGTCTCATCTCAAAACTCATCGCCTTTATCATTCCACATTTTCTAGTTGGAATTGTCAGGTCCTTTCTCACAGGCAGAAGCCTTCGGGTCTGCGTCGGCTCTGTTCTCTCTGCCAGTAAACCCGTCACTGCCGGTGTCCAACAAGGCTCCAAACTATCACCTATTCTATTTAACCTGTTCTGTGCGGACATGCCCTCCGACACTTCTATTTTGACAGCTCTCTACGAGGACGACATTGCCCGTATAAACTCCGCCCAAACCATTCTCCAATGCACAGGGAGAATTGATAAGTTTCTGCCCCTGCTCCTAAACTGGTACCGAAAATGGAAACTTTCCATTAACAACCGCCCCGTCAAGTGGACCAAGTCTGTCACCTACCTAGGCGTCGTTTTAGACAGGACCCTAAACTGGCGGCCCTACATAGCAACTACCCGTAACAAGGCAATGTGCATTCGTGCGTTTAACGCAATAATCAGGAGCATTTGCTCCTACGCCATTTCGGTCTGGGGCTGCACCCTTCCTCACCGCCTGAAACCTCTTCAAGGCACCTACATGCGGATCCTTCGTTCCGCACTAAACTATCCCTGATTCGTCAGAAACACCCAGATTCTGAAAGAAACCGGTTTACCTTCTCTTCCTGTGGCTGCATCTCATTCGCAGCAAATCTCCGGGACTCAGTGGCAGGCCACGCAAACCCCACAATTTCGACACTCTAACTTCGCTCCGAAGCCAAACGACCGTTTCCGAAGGCCCTGTCACCTTCTACAATGAGCTCACTCCTAGCTTCGCTTTTTAGCGCGAGTATCCATCCCCGAGGTGGACCACCTACTCCGACAGTTCTCCCCCCCCCCCGAATCTTCCCCACGCTTAACAAATTTCTCTTCTCATTCCTCTCCCAAATCCCAACCCTCCATTCCTTTCCCGGGGATGAGTAACCCTCAGGGTTTATCTCCCCACTCGAGGTGGGGTTTTAGTCGGTAAAAATCCAACACTACCTCCCTTCAGGGGATGTCTTTTGAAAATTTCGCCTCCTCGAGAATAATCTAATAAAATAAAAAAAATTTTTGGCATTCGATATTCGATCTACCAAGCAAAATCAATTAAAATCTTACAGTGCAATCAACAACGATCCAAACTGTTATTCGATTATCAAACCAACAACAATTCAAATTCAAGCAAATAGTTAGTAAGTCATATCATATTGTACAAAATAGAAAAACAAATAAAAAGGTGATATATTCTTCAAGAACAAAAAAAATTCGAAAGCATATATGTTAGAGGAGGGTGGAATTTATGTTGGCGAAGGGTGGAATTTCCTTGTTCGTATCCTGATTACATAAGGGCCATCTGGAAACGCACGCATAGACGCAAGATACACTTGCGCAACAGGCACTTATCCTGCACCCTGCAGGGGCAATGTGGGATAGTCAGTCGTAGAAGTACGGATATAAAAACTTGTATCTGCTAAGTGTAAACGGAGTAGAAATAAATTGTTAAAATTGAGTGTTGTTATTAGTTAATAGTTAGTGGTCTTAAAATCAACAACAACAGTATTTTTACATATATGGGGCAGTAATTGAATACTGCAACACTTTGTTTACATTTTGTGTTCATGCCAAGTCAAATAACAAGAAGTATTAATTTTAATTTTTGACCCCTGAAAATATACATCAAATTTTGATATTCAACGGTCAGAAAATCTAATATAAATTTGGAAACAATGTCGGATGGCTAATCCAAAATTATAGGTTATCTAATGACAGCTTGAATAAAATTTTATTGTAACATTCATTAAATAATTCGTAAAACGTCACTGCTTATGGATCCTTTTGAAGCATCTAATATAGTTATAGGAACATCAATGAGAGCTGACGAGTGCGTCCCGCAAAAAGGCATCATATTGCAATAAATACATATACTCGACTAACGGCGTAAGGTGAAAACTTCGTGTTTGTCAATATAGTAACTTATTTAGTTTAATTTTTACAAAAATTAGCGTTGTCTGTGTTTTATGCTACTTATAAAAGCAGAAATGAAGTAAATATTTCCGTGAACCTACATGGGTGTCAGCAGTAGTTCCTCATCATCATCATAAGGTCGTCAGTCCTAATACTGGTTGGACACGCATGTCCACTCTTTCCTATCCTGAGCTAATCTTTGCATTTCCCTAGAACTAGAACAACCCACATCGTTAACTATTTGCGAATAGTAATTTAATCTAGGTCTACCTCTACTCCTCTTAACTCCTGTTTCTGCCTCTCTCTAGATCTTCATGCCTGAGAAGGTGTCCTACCAACCTATCTACCCTATTTTGTATTAACTTCCATAAAGGATTAATGATGAAGCTCGTTTTTTCATACGATAAATTCATTTATTTTTATTATTATTATTCAAATTTATCGAATTATACACACGCAGCCTTGAAAAAAAAAAAGAACAGTACGCTCGAGGGGAACAGGGAGACATTCTCGAGATTTGATCGGGAACCATACAAAATACAGTATTTTTTGACAGATGTACTTAAATTAAAATCTTTTATTAGTGATAAATCATTAACAATATTTATTTTAATTGGCAGTAACCCGCCCCTTCTCTAAGTCGATGTTCTGTAAATAACCATTACGTAATTCCCGTAATTCAACCAGGTTCAATTTTTCAATTCCTATAAAAATCCTACAGAAAAAAGCACTTCATTTTCCTCAATTTTCCAATTTTTAGGACAACTTCCAATTTTTACTTCCTTTAAAACCTTATTCGGACTACAATAAACATTTAAAAAAAATCAGCCAAATCGATCCAACCGTTCTTAAGTCAAGCGAAACAGCTTTAAATTTTTATTTATAAATGTCAAAAAACTTATTCAACTGCTTCCGCATTTCTCATTTTATGAGATAAATTAACTCCACTATTTACACTACTACGAGAACAACTTTTTTAATTGGTACTTACTGAAGTAGTTGAAAGTTAAAAGCTTAAAAAAGATCAAAAACTGGAAATCGACCAAACACAAACAACATAAATGTCAAACGGCAAATGTAGCGGAATACTTGCAGTTTGCTCCGTAAAGTTGCCAACAAAATTGGTCATTACGCATTATTACCGCTAAGTTTCAATTTCAGTATAAATGATCGTTTGGCGGAACCATTTTTATCATAGATCAAGTGCAACGGTTTTGTGCGTGATGGCAAAAAATACAAAACCTTCTTGCTCTAGTAAACCTGTTAGTGTTTCTTTTTTAGCCAATTTGTGGTCCAAATCCAATCCTCGCCTCCTAACCGCAAACAGCCCTTTGGTAGTTTACTTTTAACCCAATCAATAGAGGCAAGGAGTCCCCAAAAATGTTAACAGGAAATAAAGAATATGGTCGTATATAGAAACATAGCGTTTTTTTCCAATGAATTCGCGATGTCTGGGATATGTTAAAAAATTCGTAATGTCGAAAAGAAAAAGGTTTTTGACAAAAAAGAAAACTAAAGCTCCTAGAGGAAGCTTTTTTTTAATTCGCTTCAATTTTTAGTGTCTTCATTTATGGACACTTTGAACTATAGAATCCTTGCTACTCTTTTTTACCGTGAAAGTACTACAACTCTTAAGGTTTTTATGAGATACGTACGATTCCCATTTGGAAGTAATTGTATCCCGAAAAGGGAACGGGTGTCGTTTGAGTATCTCGTCAACGACAATCGGTCAACGAATTTTGTTTAAATTTTCTTGTGCTCGTCCCGTGAACTTTCGCATGCTGTAGTACAGTTTCGTAGAACATTGTAACGCCGTCGCAAATTATTTTATTCTGGGGTAAGTATAATTAATATTTTTTTATTGATTTTTATTAAAATACAGGTTAAAAATAAATGTCGAAAAGCTTCTTTCTTTGTAGATCTAATTTTCCAGTCAGTATGAACCCAAATTTTTCTTTTCTTCGAATTTTTACTTCTACAATTTTCCTCTGATTCTAAAGCTAACGGTACTACAACTAAATCTGTATTTGTGAAATTCGAAAAAATATTCGGACTTTCAGACGTACCAAAGTATATATCACAATACAGTAAGAGCCCTTTATTCGCGGGGTATACGTTCCATAAATATGCCGCGAATACAGAAACCGAGAACATGGAATGGTAATTAGTATGGAATCATAGAGGATACGTTCTAAGGTTCCAAAATAAAACGAATATGTATCAAAATAAAATCCATGTATTGATAAATTCGCATTAAAAATTAATCGTTAATATCAACTTTTGGCAAGAGTTTAAAAAATTTATTGATTTTTTCTTGTTTTGAATTTTGAAATTAGTCCACTCGGTTACATCTTTTATAAAATTCCCCTCGGCACGAGCCAACAGTATTTAAAAGAAGCCGATACGTTGAAAAATAACACCGAATCCTTTTCTGTTTACTCAGTTATATCTTTTATAAAAGCTGCCTCGGCTCGTACCAACAGTACATACTTAAAAGATGTCGATTCATTAAAGGGATTGAGTAGTACACGCGCTGTAGAGTAAAAAACATGCTTATCAGTTCTAGATATCATGAGTTTAATGTTTGGAACAGAGGTTTGAAATTTTATAGTAAGATAGTTAAAGCTTTGTTCTAAAGCCTGTCGAAGGCCATTTTTTAATTTCTATTGAAAATACGTGTCCTACAAGAAGCATCAAAATTAAGCACTTGTAAAATCTTTTAATGACTATATTATTGAAAACCAAAAACGTACCGAGTTAGTGTGAACCTTTGCCTGTTACTATACAAAAAATCACATATTTATCTCGCAGCGTTAAATCACAATGTTTAGAATAGAAACCCATGTTCTCGAAAAAATTCACACTAGGCACGAGCGGTCTATTGCAATCAATCCCCTTAATAAATGACACCGAATCCTTTTCTGTTTACTGATTGCAACCGCGAATAATGAAATTTTCAACCGCGAACACTGGAAATAATAAAAACGCGAATAAGGGAACGTGAATAAGGAACTTTTACTGTAATTAAGAGGAAACGTAGCTCGTTACGGTGTGACTTCGACGTCTACGGAACGAGAAACATACCTATCTCGTACGAAACTCTGTCGCACACGGCCCGTACTCGTCTCGTCAACATGTGCCCAAACCTTTAAAGATAAAAATAAGCCCAAAATGCTTTCCGTCGGACCTTCCCTCGAGATAGAGGAACCGATTTTCGAAAGTACCTTTTTTTCGAAAAAGCTGAATATTTCGAAAAATTTTTTAAATAATATTTAATTTCCAATAAACATACCTTTTGTCTTGTTAAAGGCTACATTTGCTTCAAGTAGCAATTTAAAAAACGGTAAATTGAGTTTCGCTGGTTTTTTCGATAGGTATATCTCGAAAAGTGATACACCGATCGATAGCAAAAGAATTAATCGATAGATCTTTTTAATATCTACAACTTTCTTATTTTACTTTTATCTCTAGGAGCTTTAGTTTTCCTTTTTTGGAAAAAACCGTTTTTGTCGACTTTACAAATTTTTTAGAATATCCTAGACATCGCGAATACATTGGAAAAAATTCTTACAATTTTCAGTTCTATACCACCATATTTTTATTTCCTGTTAGCATTTTCGGGAAATTTAACATTGGGCAGTTCCCTATTGATTAGACTATTTCGAATATTCGAGAGTATTCTACCGTTCCAATGTTGACCAACAGCTGCATCCATCATGCCGTTCCCGCTAAAAAGGGCCTTAATTACTCCTAGAACGACCTGTTTTTTTGAGTTGGTAGATCCTCTAACGCGCACGCTTCATTTTAGGTCACCGTGATCCCGTTCCCGAATAAAAGCAATTCAAAGTTGGGTGTCAAACTTCAGACGAGCAGATTTTGCATTAAAAAAGAAAACCTACCGGTCGACCTAGGATTGCAACAAAACCGGACAATGTGGTATCTGTGAGAACTTCGATTAAACAATGTTCACGCCCCTCTGCAAGGAAACACGCGGCTCCCCTGATCAAAGTTTTCGGAGAATTCGGTACCGAAACTTCAAAATGCACCCTGCAAAGTTGTATTTACACATGAACTGTTTGAATGAGATTGGGAAACTCGTACAACTTTGTGTCAATAACTTCGGGACATTCCCCTTACTGAAGTTGTTCTCTTTACGGACGAGGCACATTTACATCCCTCAAGCGCAGTGAATAAACAAAATTCCGTTACTAGTTTGAAAATAATCCTCGGAAAATCCATCAACGACTACTCCACATTCCTGGGGTTACAGTGCGGTGTATGTTTTTAGTTAGATGTGGTGGGGTCCGTAATTTTTTTAAGAGGATCATGTTACTGCAACGATGACCTCTCTAATTGGTATTGCGCAATGCTACATAATTTTCTCTAGTCTAGATTCGGTAATCTTTTCGGTGACATGGGTAACTACATGTGTGGTTTCAACAGGATGGTGCAACAGCGCACACATTCTGTTATTTACCCAGCATTATATAAGAAATGTTTTCTGGACATGTTGTCTCTTTACCTGGTAACATCGGGTGGGTACCGCGCTCACCAGATTCGACAGAGAGTATTCTGAGAAATGGAACATTAAACTCAGCATCTCATTGATCTCACTCCCCGCCACGTATCAATTTAATCTGTAGATGCAACTTCCTGTTTTTTAATGGTCCATACGACAAACAGAACAATGCGTCGCCGGTGGAGATCCTGTGGAGGTTATCGTACCCTTAATGCACGTACACTTCCCAATCTCTACCCTGTCTGCAACTCCCAGGGCATTTCGCATGCCGTTTTCGGCAGTAAAAACTTTATCGTAATCGATTGTACTATAGTTTTCATGCATATTCCATTGCCATAACTCGTTCTGATTTATTTGAATTTTCTTTTGGTCTCCAAAATAGATTCCTGACCCTCAAAAAACATTTTCTTGTTCGTGTCACTCTCCTTTTATTGTAAGTTTAAATGTGTCAATGACTTGAGTGGCCAATTAATTCACAACATGGTTCAAAGAAATCGCTCCCAATCATTTCCAAAAAACTGGCTCATTTCAATACAAGAAAAGCGTGTAATACCGAAAACTCCTCGCTATGTATCATGTAGCTAAATATTTCTAACGTTAGAAATTCGGAAATTAATCATATTTACCACTCTCACTGTAAAAATCACACGGTTAGGCAGCTTAATAAATCCGGAATTTATTTCTCGTTACTACCGACGTTCGTCACCTCATTACATGTCACGAAGTTGTAGATTGCCTTTCACAGGTGGATTTTATTTCTACCGCAACGTAACTTGACTTTACTGCATTTTGCTGCTTGCAGTACGCTGGTTCCAAATTCTATACTTGCTTTCTCGTCAAGTTGTAGTGCGACACTTCCTTTGACACTCTCAGTCTTTACAACAACATTCATTTGGTGCATCTTTGATAGGATTCACTCGGATAGACACATGAGTTATGGTGTCGCCTCCTAACCACAAACTGTTAGAATACAACGATTTCATAATATGTAATGTAAGTTCGTAGATTAATAAATCAAGTATTTTATGTTGCTTATTGTTAGATTAAGAAAACAAGCCGTGATTTGTATTAACCAAAGTTTATGTTTCGTCTAGTTCAAATCCTGTTCGGAAAGTAGTTGTAAGAAAGACGTTGTAAAAGAAAGATTGTCAGTAAAAGAACATTGGTGAAAATTGTAACTCACTATTGTTTAAATATTCAAGCTAAATAAAATTTACTTTACTTCAATAATCAACTGGTTTTTTCATAATTGAAATAAATAAATCGAAAACAAACAAAGGTTTGCTAGCTTTTTATAAAACATTCGGGATTACTCTATCATATGTCATCATTTTATAAAATGAAATTCTCGAATATATAAACAGTCAAATACAACCGTGCCATAAACAAACAGTTATGCGCAACAAGCACTTAACTTCAATACAACAATTGCGTTAAATTTCAGTTAGTTAGGTATAGGTACTTCCTACGGACTTTACCTACAGTTATGTTGTTTTAGCACCTTTTTCAAAAATAATCTGATTATTACACTAGTTATCATTTACTGTTCGTTTCAAGAAGTTAGAGATATGCCCCTTCCCTTCATTAGGACGCTCATTTCTCCACCGATCATCGAGCGAGAACTAGACAAAAGTGTACAGTACCATTTGCAAAATTATTTAAACTGCCTCGTTAAAATTTAAGAATATGCTTTATTTAAAAGCATATTTAGCCAAAAATAATAACAAGTGAATTAACTTAACGTTCTACACACCTATAAAACTTTTACTTTGTTTTCTATTGTTAATTTATATACATTTTTGCTTTAAGAAATTACTAAACATTTTCGTCTAGTACTGTATAGTTTTAGCCGATCTCCTAAGACCGCCCATTGAGGCTCTGCTCGTTCAAGCTTGTTCCAACTATTTCTGTCTTGCTCGCGCCTAGTGTGTATTCTTTCTATATTCGCGCAGATTTCTTCAAGGTCACAATTCTAACAAATTGAAATAGACTGTATATATGTTTTTTAACATTTTAGATTTATGATTTCTGCTTTAAATTCGTAGCAATAATACAGTAAATTCTTTTCGCATAGAGGGTTTTTCTGAAATAAGTAGCATGCTTTGGCGGGTGTTAACTAGAAGCAATAGGGAATCGCATAATTAGTAAAGCAGTATGGTTACGGTGCTAACAAAAGAAAACCAAAAGAAGTTACAATCCGAAGCCGATCCTGTGCATGAATTGACAACGTACAGAAACATTGAACAATCAAGCAGCTATCGATGGAGAATATAAAAAGTAACGGTTGTGGAACAACTAATAAAGTAAATATTAGCAGAAAATACACGTCGATGTGGTAATAAGAACACAAAAGAAAGAAAAAATTAACGTTAGGTAACCATTAGGTATTGCCAAAGAGTGTTGCCTTTTTAATGAGTGTTATATCCCTCCATTACAAAATTTTTTTACGACACCAGTAAACACACATACACATACCTAGGTGCACTAGAAAAATAGTTCGAAATTGAAACCTCTTGTTAAAAGAAACACGCACTGTTTCATACAACCCCATAAAAATCCACTGGCCTATGATACTTTAGGTGAGATAAGGTCAAATAACACAATGAAACAAATGAAACAAATGAAATCAAACGGGACTAACAACTTAACAATATATTTACAAAACTAGAACAATGAAATTAGAAGTGAAAAGAACTGAGAATAAAACTAGAAGACTTAGCAGATGAATTGACTTGAACTGTAGAAAATCGAATTAGGAAGTGTTAATGTTTTGGAAATGAAAATGTTAGGAAAACTATTAGGGCGGAGCTAGAAGCATTTAGATGAAAGTAGGGAACCAATTAGAAGAGAATAAAATCTGGAAATGTGAATATACAAAATACTAAGAAATAGACAAATAGAATGTTAACCCTAAACCGCTGAAGAAACCTATCATTAAAAAGCAATTAAGAAGGGACAATAGTTATTGACATCATGCAGTTAGTACGTGAAGTTGAAATGTTAAAAGGGATTATAGAAAAGTCCAAGTAATAAAGTTATTTGCAGAGAACACAATAGATAGGTACATACACAAAAGATTTGAAATAGAAATATTAAGACAGATATTTACATAATGAGAATAACAGAACAATACAACACAATTTTAACAGAAAGTTTGAAAAGATATTTACAAACAAGAATAATAAAAATAGAAATATATATAGAAACATTTTAACATGATATAGCGGCCAGGTATGCGCGGCCACAATACAGACACACTGACCTACTACCAACGACTTATACAGACTACATACATACAAGCTTGCTACTTATTTCAGAAACACCCTGTATATTTAAAATTGATTTTAAAATTGCTCAACTCCTTTGTGGTTTACACTACTTATTGAGTGTACTGACAAGCGACAATTTCTATAAATTTATCGACATACCTCGTCACGTGAATGTACGAAATCTTATTTCGTGGAGAAATATACTTACTAACTGTCTATGCTACCTACGTCATATTCCACTTTGTTATCTAGGTTCCATTGCTGACAATGAGCTAATCAATCACGCTAACTGCAAACGTGTCGATTTTATGTCGTCGAATGCTACTCGACATTGTTTACAATTTGTGAAACATGAGAAACAGCTGATTGTAATGGGAATAATGTAGGTCAGAGAATTGCTGGAGGTATAACAAACACGACAGACATTATAATCGTACAAATTATTACTAAATCTGAGGAGATATTTAAATTAAAGGTAAATGGGTGGTACTTCAGATTAAAATGGTGCATTTTCACATGTTTGCGTTTCTATTTATAATTTATATCGACATGATTCAAATCAAATTAGATGATCAAATTATTTAGATGTAGTATTCAGTAAATTATATAATAGATGCGCTTTTGAATGTGTTATGGAATAGTGGAATTCATAAAATCTGCTCAATTATTTGAGTCATTTTTATATATAGACTAGTGACGAATCGAGAACCAGACATTTTATTGCACGCAATCATAAAAGGGCGGCATCAACTTTTGAAAAATACAACGCAATACGGGGAAATTCAAGCAAATACAAATTCAAAACAACTTTTGAGAGTTCGATTAGTTTTTAGAAAAGCAGAACATAATTTCAGACCGACAGACGTGTTTGAAAATTATACAGAGTTTAACAGAAATAAATGCCGACCTTGCAGGAGCACTATATACAAAATTAAGTAAATGTTTGTATGTGCAAAAGTTCATCGTTTTCAAAGAAAACGTAGTTGAAAGTATATAGAAATTCAATTCCGACCCTGGTAGAGAAATATGGCACACAACACTGTACTCAATCAGCTGATGATTACCAGTATCCGTCTAGTATTCGTTTCTTACTTTTTTGCTCATGTATTATTTAGTTGTTAAATTAGATTAACTGTGATTTAGGATGTTTATGTTAACAGCTATCCTGTAATAGCCGTTTATTCTTGTAACGTTAAAACTTTGTGTGAGGCAATCAATGTGCAGTACATCAAACACTAGCGAAGGTCAGTATGTACCTGTAGTTATAATAATGTGACTTGATACGTATTTACAGGTTTGAACCATATCACCTCTGTAGGGACGAAATCATTAATTTCAAAGAAGATATTGGCTCGTCTCAAGCGACAGTGTGACAAATTGTAAACTAATGGTTGGATAACTTACATTTTTTCTTTTAAGTTCGTACATTGTCATAGTGGTGTTTGTGATGTACTTATTTAATTTATTTAGTCTAAACATTGTATATATATATATATATATTGTTTATGTTCATCTTAGTCGTTTGATTATCGGTAATGTTTACATTCTCCATCCATGTAGCTGCAAAGTTTTTATCGCACTACTATTCACTAGACGCCTATGTTACCAATGCACACACAGGACCGGCATCGGATTGTAAATTATTGTGATTTTCCTAAACAGCTTTTTACCTTGAACTCGGCTGGGCACTTATTTCTATTACACTCTGTATATGCATATATGTATATAGCATTTTCACTAGTGTGACATAAGAAATGTGCAACTTCTATATTTGGAGAACTTTTTCCTTTAAGTAATCCTTAGAAGCGCCATAAATGGTAAAAGCATTTATGATTAAGAAATTTACACGTCATACATGCAAAATACAAAAAAAATACTTACTTTTTCTGGTGTATTTAATAATTCGATCATAACTTGTACAAAGGCATCTATGTTCATATGCTTGCAAGCATATTCATCAACGTAATAGCAGAGTGAAGTAAATTCCGGCTTCGGAAGAAGACACTTCGCTTTCTCCTCCACCATCTGCAGCGCTGCCGACCATTTACGGGTTGTTTGTGCCAGTCTACTTCTGAAATAATACAACACACATAAAGGCGAAAGAAAAATATCCGATATGCAAAAAGTTTTTGAAGGAAAAAATTAAATGATAAAACGGAACCCTTATACGCCTTATAGGCTCACCTCAGTGTCTATCTGTCGACTTACTTGTATGTACGTTACATTCCGTTGAGCAATAATTTTGAGGTTTGGCAAGCAAAGAAAATTATTAAGTTTTAAATTTCTAAAATTTTACCTACCCGCTACGAGGGTTAGAAGAAAACCGTTTTTTATTAAATTTGTAAAACAAACACTTCAAAATGTTTTAAACATGTGTTCATATGTTTCAAACAATTTTTTTACGTTTATTCTAAACACACACTTTAAACGTTTTAAGCTTGTTTTATACAAGTTTTTTTTTATCGTGGTATGTTGACTTCATTAGCTAGTTGTGTTTTTAGCAGTCCATAAAACAGTTTTAAACATGCCAACCCTGCGAGATGTTTTTTTCATTTCTACTAATGGAGGATGGTTAGTAATTTTATTATCTTAAACTGCAGTTAATATCTTGATAGTTCATATATAGCTAATGATGATCATCATAAGGTCGTCAGTCCTAAGACTGGCTAGACACGCACCTCCTATCCTAAGCTAATCTTCGCTTAACTATTTGCGAATAGTAACCTCACCTAGGTCTATCTATACCCCTCCTAACTCTTGTTTCTGCCTCTAATATGTCTCTGACTAGACCTTCATGTCTAAGAAGGTGTCCTACCAACCTATCTCGCCTATTTTTTATTGACTTCCATACAGTCCTCTGTTCTCCTATTCTTTCTAATACCTCTTCATTTCTAACCTTTTCTACCCAAGTTATCCTTATCATCCGCCTATAACTCCACATTTCGAAAGCTTCTAGCCTTTTCTTTTCCGCCGCGTCCACTGTCCATGTTTCGCACCCGTACAACACCGTGCTCCAAATATACACCTTTAAAAACTTTTTTCGAATTTCTAGTTAACCGTTCGTCAGTATAGAAGTAACTTCTTTTTATTAAAGGCGACACGACCCTGCGCTATCCTCTGCTTTATATCCCTACTACTCCTGCCGTCCTGACCTGTCTGACTTCCCAGATATCTAAAATCAGTCACTTCTTCTAATTTTTCGTTTCCTATCCTTATATTCGCTCATTCCCTACTTTTTCTTCACTTGCATACTAGTATTTTAGTTTTACTTTTGTTTATTTTCATACAGTACTGATCTGTCAGTAATCCATTTTATTTAAAACTATCTGTAAGTCCTCCTTGCTGGATGCTAATACTGCTATATCATCTGTAAATCTAAGCATACTAATATTTTGCCCCTGTATATTTATCCCTACAGTTGTACTGTCTTTAATGATGTTGATCGCGTCATCGATTAAAAAGTAGTGGTGACAGTGTGCATCCCTGCCTGACTCTTCCTAATATTTACTTTTCTACGTTGCAGCCCTAGCTCTATAACTGCCTATTGTTCTTTATACAAACTAAGTATCACTCTTCTATCTTTTAACTCATCTCTACATTTTTAAATATATTCAACATCTTTCCCATTGTCAAAAGCTTTTTTTAAATCTACAAATCCTATGTACGCCTTCTTTCCTTTTTCTATCGTTTTCTCTATTGTTACCCGTAAAGCTAGAATGGCTCCCGCGTTCCTCTATTTCTTCTAAACCCAAATTGATCTTCCCCTAATAGTTCTTCCGCCCTTTTTTCTATCCTCCTCTGTACAATTCTAGTTAAGATTTTTAAATGATAAAACGGAGCCCTTATATAGATAATAAGTCGACATTATTTGTTTAGTTAGCTGATTATATTTATTCTAAATAAATAAAATATTTGAGTGGTATAGTGATGGGAGCTGCTAGCTTTTATGCATTACAACATTCTGCGTAGGCTCTCCGTAGATGAGTGTGTGGAAAAGTTGAAAATTGTTTTGAAGGGAAAATGTCCACATCGCACAATAGTTTATTGTATCGTAAGTTTGAACGTGGTAAATTTGATATAATTTCAGGACCAAGGCGTTTCTGGTTCAGAAAACATGGCAAAAGTGTCAAAATTATTAAAGGAAAATCGACGTGTAACACCAACACTCAATAATGTATTTTTTACACGACATGGTATTTTAGAATGAATAATATTGGAAGGTCAACGTGCTGTAACCGCCCCTTGGTATATAAACGAATGTTTGCCCAAAGTTTTTTGAAAGCTTCGGGAAATTCGACCAAATTCGAGAATGGATATTTGGCATTTTCATCGCGCATGGATGATGTGATACTGCAAAACTTATCTAGTGACCATTGTAAGTAGTTGTTGTTTAAATAATGTTTAGTATGCGCTATTTTAAACGGTGTTTTAATCACAGTTTAAAACACATTTATTTAGAACATGGTTTATTTAGATTGTGTTTTAAACAATGTTTAAAACAATTGTGTGGGTCTATGAAACGACGATGCAAGTGAAGAAACTTTTCAGATTTGACTGTAAATTTCGGAAAATTATTTAGGGTTTAGGATATTAAAATTAAAATCGCGTTCTTAATCTTATCTTAATGATTGGAATATGGGAATGATAATGAGAAATCAATAGTAGGCAAGATATCCAACTATAAATTAATTTCAATCTGCGTATGAGAATACGGAATACATAACAAATACAATCATTCAGATGATATACGCATGTTAAAAACTGAGAACAATATTTATTTAAATCATTGAATCATTTTAAACTTTAGTTATTCTGTCAATAATTTCATCTCCGCTTTGAGTTTCACAGTCTATAAATGTAATTGTCATGCACTTGCACGAATGAGTGAGAATATAAATGGTTAGATCATGCTAGCTATTGGCGCCGCCATATTGGCCTTGGCTGCTCTGCCGAGCGCCTTTCAGTTTTACCCCTACTCCGCGGCCGGCTGTAATGCGACATGTGATAGATGGACGAAAAAATTTGAGGAGATGTAATAAAAGTTTCATGTTAAAATCTGTATTAAAACACTTTGTTTTAAACATGCCAGCCCTGCCCATCACCCCTGTTGTTCCAACTAAAGTGTGTCTGCTCTTCGAGAATTCTATTAAATATGCCAAAGTTTATATTTAAGTAAATTTTCGATCATTATCTCCATGAGATAATTGAAAAAGATTGGAAATTCTAAGCTTCTGTATCCTACCCCTTCTTCCTATTCAGCTGACGATTGGCGTAAAAACGCAAAGAATATATTACCGTATATTTTGATATTACGACTGACAAAAATATTATGTCCAGATCCCCATCAGGTTTAAAGGTTCAAATCTTTGAAATTTGAAAAAGTTACAGAACGTATAAATAAATTCGTCGTTTATGTATTTATTTGCGATAATTCAACACTTGCAGTACATATACATATGTAGAAACGATAGTCGATCAGTCTGAAGGCATTCCCTCTATCTTGCTATTATTATTCATTACAAAGTCAGTGTCAGTACAACTTTACGATTTTCCTGCTGTCTCCAAACAGATTAAGTACCACAAGATGAAGCAGTCACAGTTCACTCTAAAATTTAAGTTTGAAATCACGTCGAACAGTGCAAGGAGCTCCTATTAAGGAATGACGATTCCCTAATGGGAAAACTTTTAAAAGCACTCTTAACCTGCAGTTAATGGTTCCGTGACAGCTCATTCCTAACAATTCTTGCTATAAAATTTCTTTCATAGTAGGTACCTATGTTAAACTAATAGTGTATTAAGTGCTCTAAAAACTAAGAACTGGTTTTTAAGTTGTCGTAGTACAGGGTGTCCAGAAAGGGTAGGGGGTATTTGCAAATTAAATAAAAAAACTACACAAACATACCGGGATAGAGGTTAAGGAATTGGTTTAATTGTATTATTTGTACACTATTCTTCGAACGGGTGCAATTCTGATAGTAAATATACTATAGAATGTCTTTATATACAACAATCACAGCTTTTTTGCTATTAGACAATACAAACTGGCCGGTACCGCCGCAACTGCTATGTCCCTGCATTTTAAGTGTTTAATATCTTCCAAATATATTCATTTAAATTACATGCTGTAAAGGGTCATATTGATCTATATTAAATGCACAATGTATTTAAAAGTACTTAATTGAATAAGGATTAATGCTGTATTGATTAAAATCGCTTCGTAAATAAGTCATTGTTTCTCATAAAAAGTAAAGGATAAAAATGGTTATTGTGGGTTATCCCTAAGAGATAGACTTATACCATCCCAGACTTTTTTGTAGACCTATTAAGGTATACAATACTGTAGTATATTATTTTGATCTATTTCGTAGGGTTCAGCCAGCGTTTGCAATGTAAGCGCAAAAAATGTGTTTATTTATGACATCACCTTACAAACCTCTAAAATTATCAGTATTTCTCTACTATATTATGCATGTATTATACATATAAACCTTCCTCTTGAATTACTCTATCTACTAAAAAAACCGCATTAAAATCCGTTGCGTAGTTTTAAATATCTAAGCATACATAGGGACAGGCAGCGGGGGAAATGCGTTGCATGATTTCGTTACATATCAACTTGCATGAAACGAACTTACCCTAACGTGCGTAAAAATCTTTTTTGTTAATTTTTAGACAAAGTTTTGGAAAATTAAGTGCCAAAGATGATGTTGTCCAAATGTTGACCCACGAGCTGTTGGCACTCCTCCAACCGAAAACGGAAATTAACCGTCACGTGTCTACACATCTCTCTGAAACCGGCGGTCATTTCGGTGTGGATATTGTGCTTCAATTGCAGTAGAGATCGTGGTTTATTTGCATACACCTTCTCTTTAAGGTACCTCCGTAGACAATCATCAGAAGGTGTAAGATTGAGGCTTCTCGGAGGCCAGTTGATGGTGCCTCGACGAGAGATAACTTTTTCCGGAAAAAGTTGAATGGCAACCGCAAGCAATTGGTTTGAGATGTGGCAAGTGGCCCCAGCTTGTTGAAATCATCTTTCCACATTAAATCCACCAAACTCTTGCAGTTGTGGTACCAAAAAGTTTCATAACATGTAACAATACCGGCCACTGTTAACGTAAGTGTTCGCCATCTCCGGTCTTCAAAAAAAAGGCCCAATGATACCTTCACCAGACATGGCAACCCACGCAATAACTTTTTGACAATGTTGTACTTCTTCATGTTTATGTCTTGGATTTTATTTGGCCCAGTAGCAACAGTTCTGTTTGTTTACGTGACCATTTAAGTGAAAGTTCGCTTCGTTACTAAAAAGAATATTTTCAAACGTTGAAAAGCTTTGAAGCATTTCATTTGTAAAATTCAGTCGGAGAAGATAATCGGTAACGTTAAGTTTTTGAATTAACTGGATTTTGTAGGCTGTAAGATGTAAATCTTGCTTCAGAATCTTCTGTAACGACTATTTTTTAATGTCAAGTTCTTAACTGCGTTTGCGAAGTGATTGAGATGGATTTTTACGCACTGACACTTTCATTTATTCAATCATTTGTTGTTGTATCGTCCTTCGGTGCATTCCGTACATTGAATTTTGCCCGATATAATCAGTGAGCTATGATCTATTATCTATGGCTATGATCATCATATCATTATTGCGATAATAGGCGCGTACACAAAAAGCACAATGTTCTCCCGGGTATACTTCCATGGTCATTATATCTCCAAAAATTAGTAAAATAGCCTATCCCTACCGTACCCCTCCGAACCGCACCGTTGCAAGGACAGCGCAGATAAAAATACCCCCTACTCCTTCTGGATACCTTGTATAAAGTGTGGCTCTATAGCTAAATTCATCATCATCACCATAAGGTCATCAGTCCTAAGACTGGTTGGACACGCACCTCCACTCTTTCCTATCCAGCGCATCTTCGCATTTCCCCAAAGCTAGAGCAACCCATATCCTTAACTAATTGCGAACAGTAATCTAATCTAGGCCTACCTCTACCCCTTCTAACCTCCGTTTCAGCTTCTAATATGTCTCTGACTAGACCTTCATGTCTGAGAAGGTGTCTGTAATGTCCCGTCTTGATTTAGACGGACTACGCTCCTAATTAAATTTGCGCAGTTAGTTAGAGAGAAATGATAAGAACATAAACTTCGTTTATCGGTTTATTGATTTAACAAAATTGGTTATGTTTGGTTCTTCTACCTTCATGCCTGAGAAGGTGTCCTACCAATCTATCTCGCCTATTTCTTATTGACTTCCAAAGAGTCCTCTGTTCTCTTACTCTTTCTAATACCTCTTCATTTCTAACTTTCTCTATCAAGAGTATCCTCATCATTCTCCTGTAACACCACATCCCGAACGCTTCTAATTTTTTCTTTTCCGCCGTGCCCACTGTCCGTTTTTCGCACCCGTACAGAGATGTGCTTCAAATATACACCTTTAACAACCTTTTTCAAATTTCTGAAGTAACCGTTCGCGAGCATAGAAGTGACTTCTTTTTGTTGAAGGCGATTCGACCCTGCGTTATCCTCTGCTTTATATTCCTACTACTCCTTCCGTCCTGACTTATCTGACTTCCTAGATACCTAAAATTGGCCACTTCTAATTTTTCGTTTCCTATCTTTATATTCGTTGTTTCCCTACTTTTCCTTCCCTACATACCAGTATTTTTGTTTTACTTTTATTTTTTAGCTCAATTGTTTTTCCAAAATACTCATGTATTGGATTATCAATCTATGCACGTCTTTATACCAAATTTCATGTTTAACGTTGTTTAAATGAGAGAATCGTAATACTACTGTGACATATAAAGAGACAGAGACAAATCTAAAATGTATCTATCTTTAAAAAAAAAATGTGCGAGTCGGACGCGCGCACCGAGTTACCTACAAACATGTAAATGGTTCGTTCGTCACAGGAATCGAGTCTCGAAGATTTTCCCGCCTTTTTAAATGTTTTAAATTGAATTACTGCAAATGGCGTAATGAGTACCATTTGCAAAATATGCAATAATGTTTGAAGTTCTCAACACCCTAAAATCAGACCCCAAAACGTATAATTACATTCTTAATGCCTTTATGTGAAAATGTGATTAGTAGCAGTTCTAACCAAAATTATATTTCAAAGTTATTTTATTACTTAAGTAGATATCAAATTTGAACAAGATTTACAATTGGTAACTGAAAAAAGAATGAATAGTGCCGTATTGTATGATATATGATTCTAGATTACTTAATAGGTTTTGATTCCCATACAAATATTAAAACATGAGGCATAAACGGTGGTATACTTCATATACTTTCTCTAACAATGTGCCCCTTCCAATGTCTTGGATGAGCGCTGGCAAAATCGTAGGTAGGGAGAAAAAAGCTCATTATACTCTCAACTCTTCTTCATTAAACATACATTTTCATACAGTACCTGTCAAAAGTTTTGTTCAATCATGATAGTAGTGCGAGTCAAAATCAAGCGTTAAAGCTTTTAATACATCTTCAAATATAAATAAACATCTCGTTGATATTTTCAGTAGTAATTGGTACCAATAACAGCACATTTGAGCAATGCAATTGTAGTGGATAAAATGGTCAATTTTTCCGTGCAGCACTGTACGGATTATACGCTCCTCACCGGTTAAGAGTTTGGCCGAGAGTTGTCTCGTTCCTTTTCTGGCCTAGTGCTGTTCTTTTCTACTTTGCGCGGGTCAAACTGAAGGTCGCATCGCTACAGAAAGTAAACGAAGTATATCATTTGGTGATGTTTACAATTCTGATTCTTTCACAGCTTTAAGGGATTACAGACTTGTGTATTTGATGGTAATTTGAACTATACCTACACGCGTTCTTAAGAAAATGGATCATGACAGATAGACAAACAGACAGACAGACTGAAAGACTGGGATCCTCTAAGGGTTCCTTTTTTCATTTTGAGATACGGAACCTTAAAAATACTCGAGAAGTGCGAAAAATGTCTATAACATTTTTGCGCATTATTTATTTTTCGATTTTAAATTAATAAAATTAAATTACCCTGGACTTCCGATATCCCAAGTTTGGTCATACGGTGTACAAGAATGTGGCACTTTTCCAACATCTCTAACCACCAAAGACATTCGTTTATGGTATTTTAATGTAGCAACAGCTTCATCATGAGTCACGTCCATAAACGATTGACCGTTTACTTCCAGAATTTGATCTCCGACCTACAAAAAAAAAGAAAATTGGCTATAATTACAAGAAAAAGTTATACATTACTATTAGGTAATATTCAATTTACAAAATAACTAATAAATAAATGTAAGGAAAACCTCTTCTAAATAACAAATCCAAACCAAATAATATCTACATATAAATAATCCAGAAAACGGTCACATTCTCATAATTATTGATCCATGTTTAATAGCTAGAGATGTGCAGAATTGTTCTTTAAAAGTATTTAAATACAAAATGCAAATACTTTTTTGATTCGATATTGTTTGTATTTGCTAGAGGTACGATAAGTGGTGATTTGGCAGGTGCTGATATCAATTTGAACTTGAAAATTCCGTGGACCATGACACTGAACCCGGAAAACAATATCGATCCAATATTTTAGATTATCCATTTCCGAGGAGTTTAGAAGTTTTTAGACTCTCTTTAGTTTATGAATTAAAAGGCATTCATGGAATGTCTCTTTTTAAGCTTCTAATACCTTCAATGGCCAATGTTAAAAAAACTTTCATTCATCATTTTATATAAGTAATATTTGATTGGTGATACTAGCAAAACTTTTAACGACAAAAATGTATTTTGCATTTCAGAAATAGAAAATACGTTTGGAAAAGTATTTTAAATAAAATACAAAATGCTTTTCTGAAAAAAGTATTTAAATGCAAGATAAAACTAGGTATTTTTTATTTTGTATTTGCATTTTAAATAAATTACATGTCTGTCATTAGCCACTACACAAAAGTTTTTGATTTTCTGAAAATGTCTGGATAATTTAAAATTTTACGTGTTATTATTTGGCACAGAATTGCGCGCGGTATCTTAATCGATGAGTGTATGGGAAAAACAAATGCTTTACTTAAAGAAAATTGCCCTTAATGTATGACGATTTTCAGTGGCATCGAGAATTCAGTCGCGGTAATTTTGGTGTACGACAGAATAGACTCCAAGGTCAAGATTTCTCACAGAAGAGAATGTGAATAAAATGGAAAAATTGATGAGATGATCGTCGAATAACTTACAGGTATGATAGAAGGAATCCTATAAATTAATGTATCAAGTATTCACAAAATTCTACACGATATGAATGGAGTAAAAAGGTTTACTCTACTCATAGCGTCTACACTTTGAGTGCTTCTTGATTTACAAGACGAGTAAATTGGTTTGAATTCTCAGTTAATGCTTTATCTTATAACTTTTGTAAATTGCATTTTTTTTGTCATATAATTTAGATTTCTATTTTATCAGATTCTGTTAATTTACTTATTTTTGACACTATGTAACTATTAAATGTTAAAGATGAGAATAAGTATCCCTGTCTTAGAGCCTTTTCACACGAGCTACATTTTGTAGCGCTTCCGTTGAGGCACACAGTAGCGCGACAGTTGCTAGTTTGTAATATGTACAATACTATACCACTATTAAAATGGATGTTAAAAGCAGAAACACGAGTTAAGAGGAGTAGAGGTAGACCTAGATTAGATCACCAATAGCTAGGGATGTGGGATGTTCTAGTTTCAAGGAAATGCAAAGATTAGCTCAAAAGTGAAGGTACGTGTCCAAATAGTCTATGACGATCCTATGAAGATAATGATGATGATCAAAATTTTATACAACCTACAAAATAACTATTACTAGTTGGAACTATCCCTACTATCCCAATTATTTATTCAACAATGAAAAATGAATTTATTAAAAATTATGACAAACAAGGCAACGCATTACGTAGCTTTCTCATCTTCCATTGAAGACGTAAAATTCAGCAGGAATGGCGTATATAAATATTGCATAGGAGTGTGTATGTCACGTCTACATGTGACCTCTCTCGACGCGTTCACCACTGCATCCTCATTTGGCACGATTACAATCTTTAATTATAGCAATTAATTGCAGTAAATGGCGTCAGTAAAACTTATGCATTCAAGGGTCAAGGTTCAGCTCGAAGAGATATCAACAAATGTTAACATTTTCCGCTCTTTATCTTGATGTTTTTTCACAGGCATTTAATCATAATTAAATTACATCCAAATATCTAACAAAAAGCGTAATTTATTATTATTGTTACTAGTAATTATGTAAACGATCCATCCACTTTGTAGAAAAAAATAATAACAAAGCGAGGATGTCAAAACAGCACTACCCATTGAACCAATTACCCTTTATACAAGATGAGACATTTGTATATTTTTGAAGGCACAATTAACCACTGGTCTTGAATGTGACTTGTCATTTGAGAACAAGTCATTTTTTTTAATGGAAATGTATTATTTTGAGCCTAATTATGGAAAGAGTCGGACAATTTTGTTACTGGATATACCCTTGTTGATTTGCCATTAATTTTTCAATCCGTATGTGCGGAAAACTAAGAACAATGAATAATTAAAGTGTTGTATAAAAGTTGTATGTTTTCAAAGGGGCACTCAGTTGATCATTTTAAACATGACCTAGTCCTTAACCTTCAAGATCGTTTGAAATCATATATTAAAAAGGGAATTAAATTATTAACCACCGCTAATGGCCTTGAAATATATTTATTTTTAATTTATTTTGGGTGACGTCTAGAAGCCTGTCTTTTAGCACGAGGTTCAAATTTCGAACAATTTTTGCGGTGTACGTATGTGTAGGTATGTTTAGTGGTATTTTCCCCAACGCCAATAACCCTTCGACCAGTAAGCGGTAAATTCAAAAAAGCAAAAATCAGTAAACAATAGCTTTTTTCTAGTGGGATGAACCACCTACAAAAATGGTAACGCGCCTGACAATACCTCAATAATGGTGTGGAAATTTGACTTAATAAAATCAATCAACTATCCATATGATACCCATTTACCTACTAATGTAATACAGTCGAACCTGGATAAGTGAGAACAGGGTAAGCGAGAAAACTATATTAATGAGAGTATTTGCCAGGTCCCGTCATTTTGCCCTTCTAAAGCCTCTATAAGTGATAAACATAAAACCTGTATAAGTGACAGTTATTTTTTATGCGTGAACCTCTTTAAGTGAGATTGCTACTTGCCTAAACCTCTATAAGCGACAGTTTACTTTTGCTATTTTATGACTCGTTCTTAAATTTCAAGAGACTCTTATTTCATTCGAATGACCAAATGTGAGTCTGTTGTTGTTTTCTATAGTTCTAGGAACTTACGTTGTATTTGAATGGCCGAGTGTTTGTTTATCAATATTATTACAGTCAGTTCATAAAAGCAGTTGCGAAGAAAGGTTCTGTACTTCCTCATAATGTCTAAACGAAAACTCAATATGTTGTCGAACAGTATTTTTATATACCTCTATAAGTGAGACCGGAAAAGAAAAGGTTAGAAGCGTTCGAAATGTGGTGTTATAGGCGGATGATGAGGATATCATGGGTAGAAAAGGTTAGAAATGAAGAGGTATTGGAGAGAATAGGAGAACAGAGGACTCTATGGAAGTCAATAAAAAATAGGCGAGATAGGTTGGTAGGACACCTTCTCGGGCATGAAGGTCTAGTCAGAGACATATTAGAGGCAGAAACGGGAGTTAGGAGGGGTAGAGGTAGACCTAGATTAGATTACTGTTCGCAAATAGTTAAGGATGTGGGCTGTTCTAGTTTTAGGGAAATGCGAAGTTTAACTCAGGATAGGAAAGAGTGGAGGTACGTGTCCAACCAGTCTTAGGACTGATGACTTTATGATGATGATGATGATAAGTGAGACAGATTCCTCTTGTAACTCTGTAAGCTGGAAACTCGGGTTAGTGAGAAACCTCTGTAAGAGAAAAACAGATCGCGGTCCCTTGAGCTCTCACTTATCCAGGTTCGACTGTAACAATAGTAATGTAGTAACCCACAGTGTTGGTACGAGGGTGGATTGATAAGTTTCCGGCCTGACCAAGAAAAACAAGGTTTTTAAAAATTTTTTTTTTTTATTTCTCAACATAATCTCCTCCAAGGCTGATACATTTCTCATAGCGGTGTTCCAGTCTATTAATGCCATCTCTATAGACTGATTCGTCAAGCTCCTCAAAATAACCATTTACAGCTTCGATTACTTCTT